GGCAGTTCAAGTAGTGAACTGTTAGTAAGAAATAGTTTATACTGATCTTGGTAACTCTGATTATACGCTTGCTTGAAATATTCTATCATATTTAACTAACTAATAAATAATTGTCAATGGCTGATAACATCTTGCATTCATTAAAATGTCACATGTCCCTTACTTTCAAACCAGAAGGCATTGCTATCTCTAATCATTGGAACAGGAATTTGAGTTAAAAGTTATCTTCCCACTAAGAACAATAAACAAAAATCCCATATTGATCAAGTTATTCAAAGCTTCTTCCTGCTAGAGATATTGGGTCCTTCTGTTTACTAACATAGATTATGGTTATGAAGGGCATTCTCTTCAAAGTTAATGTTTAAGCACCCAGGCCACTGGGAAAGATGGCAGATTAAATGCATGTTTATCCAAGTGCTCCTGCCCTTCAATACACACAACCAGAAACTGAAAAAGCTGCCTATAATGAAACTAATAAAAGCTATCATCACATACCAAAGACTCGAGGGGAGTGTCTGACAGATCCAATGAAGTTGGGGACTCATCAAAGGAAGGTTCTTGAATTGGTCAAGCAAGCCACAGTTCCTGGGCTGTTCCTGAGAGCATTCCAAAGGACTCTCTACCAATCATTTCTTCTGAACTTGGAGAAACAAGGACGCGGCAGGCAGGAGAAGCTGAGTGCATACTATATGGGTGCATTTCCAAAAGCAAACATAAGAGGGGAGGTTGATCTCAGGTGCACCATTTGTGTGCAGTGGAGAGAAACAGTAACTCAGGAGCCACAAACGCTGACTACACTAAGTCCTCACTGAACGTCATTGATAGGGTCTTTGGCTTGACGTGAAACGATGTGAAACAAAAGCAATTTTCCCATAGGCTAACTAATATAAACAACAGCTAAGTTCCTAGGCACCTCACCAATGTTATAATGAAACGATGTTATTCGATGACCTGCTGTACATAGACTCCAGCAGAGCCTAAGTACGAACCCACTGCACTCCTGCTAGTGCGACATCTAGCAGAAATGGGGAAAGTCAAGGGGAATCCCTCTTCTTCAGTGGGACATGGCTACTCCTGGGCAGAGGATCTCACAGTGTCCACGGAAGGCACTCACAGACAACATGGCCCAAGGGGGCTTTGATTCATTCCCTGTTCCCCCATATCCAGAGAGCAGAATGAAAAGCAAAACAACAGCCTCACCATTAGAGACCATCAAGATCTGGCCTTACAGTTCAAGTGCTAAGGTGATCATTCAAACGCTTCTTACTTGAGAAAGGAGTCAAGGAGGATTTCTCCATACTCTTCTTGGGCAGACAGAACTGGTCCCATGCAATGAAGAATAATAACCAGAAAAGGCCGTCATGATACTTGTGCCACAATAACGGAGCAAAGCAACACAGAAGAAAAGGAATGAATGAAACAAAAGACAGATAAACATACTGTGGAAAGAGAATGATTTCAGAAACCCCAACAATGTAGACAACAGAGCTCAGCCTCCAAAGTAACAGAAGAAGAAGCCAAAGAGGACAACATGATGAGAGAAAAAAAGCTGGTAGAGCTAAGGAAAGAAACAGAGAAAAAAATAAACTCGGAGCAGAAGTGACAGCCACATTGCAAGCATCAAGACCTAGGATCAACACTACAGAAAACGGAGTCAGTGAGATAGAAGGTTGGGAGCAGAGAAAGAAATCCCACCGCAGGAAAAAAGACAAGGAGATGACAGTGATGTAAGGAAAGATAAATGTGAAGGACAGTTAACAGAGAGCCAATGCTGGTACAAACTTGAAGAGAACAAATAAACCAGTGAGAAATAGCCAAACCCGGCAGGTGTGGCTCAATTGTTGAGCGTCGACCCATGAACCAGGAGGTCAAGGTTCGATTCTCGGTCAAGGCACGTGCCCGAGTTGCAGGCTCACTCCCCAGTAGGGGGTGTGCAGGAGGCAGCCAATCAATTATTCTCTCATCACTGATGTTTCTAACTCTCTCCTTTTCTCTTCCTCTCTAAAGTAAATAAAAATATTTTTTTAAAAAAAGAAATACTGTTAGGCCCAAATGTCAATATCTAATGCTCATTGAGAACCAGAAAAAGCCAACAGATGACTGTCAACTCTGAGACATATTCAAATGAAGTTACTGAATTCGAGAATAAATAAGAAATCACAAGTACCGCAGACAATCAAGCAGGTCATCTAGCAAAGGGGATGAAAGATCTAGACTTGGCTCAGTACCAGCAGACACTAGAAGACAATAAAGTGAGGTGCCCAAAGAATGGAGGGACAAAGGATGTGACCCAAGAACATGAGAGGCAGCCAAGTTACTGAACATAAGGAACTGTAACATTTGTAAATAAGCAAGAAAATCTAAATGAAGCTGCAACCAGTCCTCCAAAGATAAAACCATCAACTCTCAAATGAGGAGTCTTTGTGTGAATGGCTGGCAGAGAGCACTGAGTTCATTCAAACATAAAATTAAATCTAAATAACTCTAGCAATTACCGACTGCCTTGCACTTTAAGTTGCCTGTCTTCCTCGGTGAAAGTTGCCAAATCTATTCGATTGGCTCCTCTAACTAACCATGCCAAAATGAAAACTGAATGGAATTCTCTTGCGCTATAGAAAAACTGGTTTGTATCTTCTCCACACACTCAAAAAAGGATAATACTAATTACCTGGTGCATTGTTGAGTGTATAGGTCTAGGAATAAGGAGACCCATTACTCTCTTTGGTTTTTTCCATTCACTTACCATGCCACTTGGCAAACACTGCGCTGCTTTGGGACTCATGAAAAACAGAGATAATGCCTGCATGGTCCACCTCATGGCACGGTAAGGATCAAGGGATGCTGTATGTGAGTGAAAGTTCTTTGGAATCTACAAGCAAGGCCATAAAACCATGCCACTCGGTTGGATGGAAAGAATCCACTGTATTAAGGAGTCAAAATGAATATTTAAAGACAAAGAAAGGATCAGAAACTTTCTGTGGATCCATCTCTACTTCTTTTCTTTCATCTCTCTACATTTCAAGGTCACTGCTTAGCACTATGAATAGGAAATTCAGTACCTCCACAGCTCTTGAATGGAACGATTTTTAATTTGGAAACAAAAGCTAGCTTAAGAATTTAAAGATGTTGCCCTCCACCCAAGGTTAATGTCTCTCAATTTGCATCCCTTCATTCCACTAATATTTATTAAGCACCTACTATGTGCCTGGCACTGTTCCAAATAGACACAGTCTCTAAATACTTAAAATAAAATCAAGTCAATGAAATCCAAACAATAGAATTGAGGGAACTAAATGAATTTCGCAGGAAAGGGGTCAATGCCTATTTATATTACAACTTATAGATAGACATCTGACCATTTGCTCAGAAACAAACCCATCAAACAGCCAACGGGATGCACGGAAGTTCAAAGAATCATGCATAGCCAACAAAAACAATAAATGAATATTGGGTCACTAAACTGTGAGAATGCCAGATGTTCCTGATACTCTGCTCATGGTTACGTTGGGAGCAAAGTTAAATTCTTAATGCAGAAAACAAATAGGAAGCAAGATTGTACTTGGGTCAGATGGATATGAGTCAACTAGAAAGCATATTAGTAAAGGACTACCAATGAAGTCACTAAAACATTGGAAACAATCTTTTCTTTTGGAAAAGATCGGTAAAGGGAGGAATGTGAGAGGATTTTCCCATACCCTATCTTCCATCTTCAACCTTTACATGGATCTTGCTGTAAGGGCATCACAATCAAAGGGCATGCCTGAAGCACAGTGAAACAGAACAAGGCAGGAGTATGTTAGAAATAGTGGCCTAGGAAGATACTCATATACTAGCTAACATGTATAAGGAAGCCAGGGCTTTTAAATGCAAAGAACCACTATTTCTACATTTTTTTACACAAGGAAATAATCCAGTGGAAAAGCCCTATCCCAAGACACTGACTCAGCCTCCATAAAGACCATCTTGTCATTCCTGTCTTGGATGTACAGTGGCCTTTCTTTTACCTAACTGATTATGACGTCTCTGATGAGATCCTTTGAGGATGGAAGAGATGAGCGAGTTCTTTCTAAAGATGAAGGGAACTAGCGCATAATGAAATGAAAGAAACACACCCTGTGAAGCTATGTAAGTGGCGGGTTGTAATCCGGACTCTCCGATAGCTTCCATTTCTATGGGGCAATAATAATGGCTCCTTTTCCCTCACCTTAAGTCCTCTGCCAATTCCAACTCTCAGCCAAAAGCAAACGATTGTGAAAATCAGATCGGCAATTCTAAAACTGGCTAAAATTCATGAAAATGAAAATGATGAAGATGTAGGGCATTTTCCAAAATAAAGTAGAAAGAACTTTATCCTTAGTCTATTTTACAATTAGTGAAGTACATCACACAAGGATTTCCAATTCCTTAGAAAACTACAAAGCAGTATCATATGACAAAGGTACAGTATTAAGTTAGTAGAAAGTTTACATAAGCATAGAAGCTCTACTTCCCACTCTTTACAAACTTGACAGTGACCAGAAGGTAGTTTTTCACTTAAGATCTTTGAAGCCAAGCAGTTAAGTGAAAAATTCCAAGACAACTTTTGGAACGGCTTAATGGACATAATAGAAGCATATATGTGAATTTTAAAATAAAACAAATGCATCAAAGACTAAACGTGGAGTACACACACCTCACAATGAGAATACAATCAGATGGCAGAAGGCAAAACTCTCAATCAGAGAGCGAGGAGTGATGCATGTGAGAAGGGCCCTGGGATTGAATTATCGCTCAGCTAATGTCTTCAATTCCCCAGGCCTTAGTCAGTGGTTTGGGACAAACATGGTATTTGGTCACAAAGTACAACAGTAGAGATCTGTATCTGGGATGAGGAGGAAGCTTAGAACCCTGGGGACACTGTAGACACTTGACTCTATGATAATGAGAGAGGTATGAGGACACGAGAGCGCTCACGAGGCTCTGCGCTCTCTTATGACAGGCACCAACCAAATCACAACATACTATAAAGGTACTCAATTTACTACGCTAGTTGGAAGATCTGAAGTAGCTACATGGAAGTTTCTCTGGGAAAGGTCCAGCACTGGAATAACTACGGTGTCACACTCAGAGTTGGTAGAGGAAAGGAGGTCAGAGGTTGACTTGCGGAAGATGATCTTTCTTCACAGAGAGGACCAGAGCATTCAGTTCTCTAGAAAGTTCTATTAGTCTTGATCTTGTCTCTACAAAGAAAATAACGGGAAAATCCATAGTGAGTTTATGAGTATAACCTTCTCTATTTTAACCAAGACTTACTCAGTGTTTAATTAGAGTGATAATTCAAAAACCTTTGCCTTATCTCAGAATTATTCTCTATGGTTACTACAGAAAAAGAATTACCATTTAATTGCCTATATATACTTTACTCTCAGTTAAAAACCTGAGTAGAAATGAGGAATGTTAACAGGGTTTCTTTTGGGGGAGATGAACATTTTCTAAAATCAGGGAGTGGTGAGGGCCACACAACCCTGTGAATATACTAAATACCACCGAATTGTATGCTTTAAAAGGGTGAATTTTATGGTATATGAATTATATCAATAAAACTGTTAAAAGCCTGGTTAGAGAATAAGTTTTCTTAGAATTTCTCATTCACCTAGTGAATACTTCCCCAAGATTATCCTACTTGTATAATTTAACAATTTAAATTGTCAGGCTAACCATTTTAGAATTTTAAAAATTGTCTTTTGCTAAAATATGTTTGTCTAACACTATATTAGAAATTATAGTGTTGAACAGTGTTGTATACTAATTAAGCACATCTTTTATAAAAAATATATTTTATTGATTTTTTACAGAGAAGAAGGGAGAGGGATAGAGAGTCAGAAACATCGATGAGAGAGAAACATCAATCAGCTGCCTCCTGCACACCGATGCTCTATCCACTGACCCAAACCAGCCAGGGCTAATTAAGCACATCTGAATCAGTATACAACCTCTAAACTGTTTAGCTTTAAAACTGTCTTTAAAACAATATTCAACTAAAGCCATCTCTTTACAATTCAAATGGATGTTATTTTAAAAGACTGCTTCTATACTACTCAACAACTCCCCCATCAGAGCAATAGTTTGAATTAATTGGTCACATTGATGCCCAACACACTACCTGGCTTACATACAGACTGAGAATGGAATCAAAGGAAATTGATCCAGGTGTATTAAGGTGATGTAGCTTAATCTTGGCCGGTAGTGGTGGTGATGGTGGTGGTGGTGTGTATGTATACATAGACATAACCACCTGTGTGCTTGCACTCACTTGCACAAACCAAACTCCTCTAAATTTTATCATTTGAGGTAAGTGACCAGTCCCACAATATTGCTCAGAGGTCCATCACAAGACTCCATAGAAAAAATAATAATACATCAGTGTAGATACCCTTTATATCCTTCATCAAAAAGACCAATGCTATGATAATGGTACAAAATGACAAAGCTATATAAACTATATTTGCAGACAAATAGCTTTCTGTTGCATTATGTTAAGACAAGGTTTTCAGGGTAAGAAGAGATATATGCAATTAAATTTAACTAGAGGCCCAGTGCATGAAATTCGTGCAAGCGTAGGCTTTCCTTCCCCTGGTTGCCAGCACCGGCTTCCCTCTGGCACCCGGGACCCGGGCTTCCCTCGCAGGCTCAGCTTTGTCCAGAAGTAAGTCTGGTCTAATTAGCATATTACGCTTTTATTATCATAGATAGGGAGGAAAATTGCAATGTTAAATTTGCATAAAAAATCTCAATATGATCAGTCATTTTTAAATGTCCAGGTCAGTAGTGTTAAGTGCATTCACATTGTTGTGCAACTGACCTCCAGAACTTTCTCATCTTCCCCAACTGAAGCTCTCTCCCCATTAAGCAATAGCTCCCTATTCCCCCTGCCCTTGGCAACCACCATCCTAATTTCCATCTCTATGAATCTGACTATACTAGGTACCTCATATAAGTGGAATGATATGGTATTTGTCCTTTTGGGTCTGGCTTATTGTACTTAGTGTAATGATTTCAGGTTCATCCATATTGTAGCATGTCCAGAACCTCATTCATTTTAAAGGGTGACTAATAATATTCCATTGTGTGGATATACCGCATTTTGTTTATCTTGATTGATAATTTTAACTTCTTGATTTTTTTCAGTTTGAACCCACAGCATTTCTCTAGCTTTTTTTTTCTGTCAAGCCCTGTGGATGATGATAAACTGCCAACTCAATTACTTTTCAAATATAATTCATGGCATGATAAACTCCGCTCACTGCTGTTAAGATCTCCACAGTGCAAGGACTCCTGGGACAACAAGGCCTCTATTTGAATGGCTATTCTGGTTACCCAATTCTTGTTCTCTTTCCTGTCTGGGGTGAGAAAGCTGCTTCAATATTTTTTAAGGATAACTTTGCTTTGCTTTTTTCCCCCAAATATGTTTTTATTGATTTTAGAGACAGAAAGGGAAAGGGAGAGAGAAAAACATTGAAGTGCGAAACATTGATCAGCTGCCTCCTGAACATCCCCTAGTGGAGATCGAGCTAGAAAGCAGGGAATGTATTCTGGGAATAGAACCAGGGACCTCTTGGTGCATGGGACGACGCCCAACAGAGCCACACTGGCCAGGGCTCACTTTGCTTTCCCAGTGATAAAACCACAAAGAAGATTTGGCTGAAAGTATCAATTGACAGGCTGGCACACTGTAGAGAAAATCAGATATTCCAGGATAGAAAGCGAAGTAATTTATTACTGTTTTGCCTTGTATTTAGAAGCGTCTCTGGGCTCTCTGCTGGGATTGCTCCAATCATCTGCTTCAGGTGTGGTCTTGTAATGGCGCCATGCTGACTTATTGAATACTGGAAGCCTCTCGAATGATTCACTTGAAAGAGCCTAATGGAAAAAAATATACACCAAAGGGCCACAGTGCCATTTGTCTCACATGAAATACAAATTCAAATTTTATATTTAAAACATTAGAAACCTTAATATATATTTTTTGAATTATATTAAAACTATACTATTCTAGTAGATTACTTAGACTGGGAGGATGAAATGAAAGCTTTTTTAAAGGAATAAAAATATTCACTCATTCAAAGCTAGTACTGACGTACACATGACCACAACAAAAAGCATTTGAATCCAGTTAATACTGCTTTGAGATACTTTGGACTATACGGTCTTAGGCCAAGCACTACTGTTCACTGGGCAACCATTCTCCCAAAGGGCTCAGAAAGAAAAAAAATTCCATACATACTAGATTTACAAACATAAAGCCATAAAGTGTTATCAAATATCACACATTCAAATGCACTGGCATCTAAGATAAACACTCCAGATACTAGTGAAGTTACGGTATAATACATTACATGTATGTTATATTTTATAACATATAGCACACTATGTGGCCGTTAAAAAGGAGCCAGTTCTATATGAACTGATAGGAAAAGATCTCCAATACATACTGGAAAGTAAAAAAATATACAGCAAAGTGCTGAAATAATCATTTGTGTGAAAAAAAATTAAATTTTTTCTAGAAGGATCCACAAGAAACTGGTACCTTTGGTTACCGCTGGGAACAGAATAGGGTGATTTTGGGCCAGTGGTGGGAGAGACTTAGTTCTCCCTTTTGTAGCATTAAAATTCTGTAATATGTACTTATATAACCTATTCAAAAAATACTTCAAATATTCTAGAGTTTAGAAGTCAAGAAAAGTATAACAGTATCAATGAATGAGAAAATCTGTGTCACAGAGAACTCTGTTATTAGATCAGCCTTTTTTAATGACTATATTATGATAACTGAGTTATTGTGGCTTTGGGAAAGCCAGCAAGTTTTTAAAGCAACAGACCAAAAGATTCCAGTTTATGATAATCTGTCTCCTGCTAGATGAGTGCTTTCAATGGATATGCAATCTTTTGAAAATCACAACTTTGAATTAAGGTTTTAAAAATCAATCATTTTACTCTTTATAGCTCCATATTTCATATTTTGCTATATCTGACTGTACACTCAAGGGTGAGGCATAACATGGTTTTCACATAAAACTTAAGTAAATCTGAGGCTGAATATAAGAGATAATAGATGCTATGGTCTATTATCTAGTAGTTATTAGAACTTACAGTTTTAAAGCGTAGATGCCTTCATACTAACAGAAAAAAAAATGCATTACCTTCAAATAAATTACAGCATCCGTACCCACTCCTTCCATAGAATACAGTTTTAGATCTCCTTGGAAATATCTAGCATACAGACGAGAAATTGGCAAGCCATAACCAAATCCAGCCTACAGGGGAAAGAAAATGAATTCCGTGAGACAGGCACACACGCCATCACGTTTGGTATGAGGATCATTCAAGATTAAAATAAATTCTTGATTCAGACTTAAAGAAAAAAAAACCAATTGATTCAACCTCTACAATGCTGTATATGCTCGCCTATGGCAAACTATTTTCACTCTACAAAAGCACTTCTCGTAGGTTTAGAAAATAATAGGAATACTGCAATTTTTGACTAGTGCTTTCTTAGCACTTGAAAGCACATTTTTAAAGCAAATCCCAATCGAGTGGGATTTGAACTGGCAACAAAACGAAACCACATCATTTCAAAGTTTCATTATCAGATTCCCTTGCTCTCTGAAGCAAAGAAATAAATTGAATAGCACAGCAGTGCAAATCTACCAGCACCAAGGCTAACACATTGAAAAGAAAATTTCCTGAGTGACTACTTCCTAAGGTTATAGGAATACTATAAGATTTGGATATATGGTAGTGCATATACTAGTATTTTTAAAGACAAGAATTCCAGTACCCACCTATATCTCTATATCCTAGAACTCTGACTGTCAGTAATAGGTTGTTGGGGGCGGGGGGTGAAGGCCTTAGGTATTAACAACAATAAAAACAACTGAGACTGAAGCTGGGGTAGAGGGAAAGCTTTAGTCCCTCTGATTAAATCCATTGCTAAGGTTAACAAAGGAGTTGGTGGGGTCATGTAAATGGGCTTTAGGCAGTTGCATGGGCTTTAGGCTCAGATACACTTAAATTGAAACTTGCTTTTTGTGCAACTCTGAGCAATTTTTCCCCAGTATATATATTTTTAAATTTCTATCATTCTATTTTTTAAATATATTTTATTGATTTTTTTACAGAGAGGAAGGGAGAGGGATAGAGAGTTAGAAACATCAATGAGAGAGAAGCATTGATCAGCTGCCTCCTGCACACCCCCTACTGGGGATGTGCCCGCAACCAAGGTACATGCCCTTGGCCGGAATCAAACCTGGGACCCTTCAGTCCGCAGGCCGACGCTCTATCCACTGAGCCAAACCAGCTAGGGCTCCCAATATATTTTTATTGATTTCAGCGAAAAGGGGAGAGGAAGAGAGAGAGAGAAACATCAGTGATGAGAGAGAATCATTGCTCAGCTGACTCCTGCACACCCCCTACTGGGGATTGAGCCCTCAACCCAGGCATGTGCCTTGACCGGGAATCAAACCGTGACCTCCTGCTTCATAGTTTGATGCTCAACCACTGAGCCACACCAGCCAGGCAACTCTGAGCAATTTACTGCACCTCTGTGAGAATGTCTTCTCATCGGAAAATGTAGTAATAAAAAAAAACAACTTAACTCATCAGACATAATAAAACTAAATGCATGGAAATTGCTATTATGGCTACTACAGAAGAGCAATTCTACTATGTTACATGGATTTCTACCATCTTCCCTAGATTTTTTCCTCAGGGGAGGGCCTAACTCAAAGGGCTGGGTATGACAGAGGAGTGTACCCCATCTTTTAAGGGCATTAAGACTGACAGAGTGCGGCCAGTAGTGAAGACAAAACAGCCACAATGGTTACTGAGATCACCACAGTCAAGAAGCCAGTGTACGCCAGCAAGAGGCCAGGAAAACAGCTTCATCCATTCCAGCAAAGCCCAGACCCTACTCTCAGGTGTGCCAGGGACCAGCCGACAATGCCTGGGGCCAACACAGGCCTGATGTGAGGAGGCAGGCAAGCCCGGAGTCCTGCGGAACACAGAGGAGGGGCCTCTAACTCAGATTTGGTGAGGTGCAGGAAAGCTTTCCCAGGGTGTCAAAAGGTCAATAGGAGCTGGCTCGGAGGGCATTTCTGAAAAACAAATGCATGTGTCACAGCACAGAGCTGGAACACAGTAACGTGTTGGGTGAGGACACTATGTTCTCTAGTAGTACACATCCGCATGCCCATTTTATTTGTTTTAATATTTTTATTGATTTTTAGAGAGAGAGAGGAAAGGAGAGGGAAGGAGGGAGAAGGAGAGAGAGAAAGAGAGAGTCAATCGGCTGCCTCCTGCACGCTCCTTCCCGGGGATCAAGCCTGCAGCCCAGGCATGTGCCCTGACTGAGAATTGAACCAGCAACCTTACGGTGCCCACCCAACTAAGCCACATCGGCCAGGGCCACACTTTAAAGCTGAGGACAGTTTACTAACTGGGAGGGATGTTAGTGGAAGCATTTCTTCACAAGGAGAGGCCATATGGTACACTGGAAAGAACACCGACATAGCCAGTGCTGTGATGAGCTCAATGACCTTGGGCGAGGTACTAAGCTTATTCTCTCATCTACAAAATGGGATGGTGCACACGCATTTTTTAAGGTCTCTTGCTTCAGGTGTTCAGTTTCATTAACAAATAACTATGACATAACAGCTATTCCCAGGATGGTATTTTGAGACCTGGAATAGACACCCCCCACCTTTTGACATTTATTTAAGTAGGTACCAGGAGCCTGGTCAAGGCAATGCCTTTCGAAATTGATTTTTCATGAATTTTCTTGAATCCAATGTAAGTGACTCCCTCTCTGTTTTCAACATGCTGAGTTAATAAACTCTGTCTTGAATAAACAATGCAAAATGTAAGATTTTATTCATGCAAATAAAATATAATCTTACGTGCTTACCAGTCAGGTAGAACTTGAAAATGAAGCTTAATTTATACCCTGAACCATTTTGCAGACTGATAGATGTTGCTGTGTTTAATGACAAAGGGTTCAATTGTTGTTTGTCAATTAGAAACACTCAGCAGGGGAAGAAAGTGTGGCCCTACCAGGATCTCAATGCTGCCATGGTAACCAGACTGTTCTCACTGCCTTAATAGGGCTGAAGGTTATTTCCAGAGTGAGACAGAAAGGGCTCTGAAAATGCATACGCCACCTATATGTTTCCTGCTTGTGCTATTTAATATAAAAAATGTAGTGTTCCTAATTTTGACATTTTAATTATATAAACAAATTTGGTGGGGAAGTTCAAGGGCCCGGGGTGATTTGGCCTCTATGGTATGCACACAAAAGTGCCAGGACCACACTACAGCCACGCATGCTGCACTGTTCCTTTGCTCACCCGCAATTGGACTTCCACCCCCTCCAGGGGTAGCTCCAGGTAGTAAATGGTGCTCCTGGAGCACCTGTAACCACAAGAAATGCCTTTTCTCTGTATTTGGGAGTAAGGCACGGAGCTCTGAGTGTGTCTCAGACACAAATTAGAGAAGAAATCTCAGTCCAAAGGCTTCACAAAGAAAGCAGCAGTGGCATAAAATTCTCCCTCCTCCAAGCCAGGCCCACACAGGGAACATTCCAATTCAATGAGGCTTATGCCCAGCCGTGGGGAGTCCCTGCCCATGTTAACGGTCTTTCCTTAAGCAGCAGTTTAAGATGCTTACCAGAGGGGCAGCTCTTGAAGGCTCCAGGCTTGGTCTAGGAGCAGTGGAATACATGTAGTTAAAAAGACGATCTATTTTTCGAAGGGGGACACCACCACCTAGGTCGCTGATCTGTAATGGAAGAGAAAGAAGAGGAGGAGGAGGTGGTGAAGGGGGGGGGAGGGAGGAGTCATTCCAGACTTAATAGGAGACAACAAGTTTATTAAATAACGCGCATATGAGATTACTCTCAAGTGTACAAGGGCTTTGAGCCCCCAATGAAATATGAACAGTGTAAAACAAAGGAGGTAGGAAAGTGTCATGGGATCCCACGGGCTTGGGTTTGAGACCCTGTTTAGCTCCCTGAAACACAGGCTGCTAATAAAGTTTAAATGAGGTAACTTAAGTCAAAGATCTAACATAGTGCTTGACGAATACCGACATTCAGCAAATGTCAGTCTTCTTCCCTTCCCTCTGATTCCACAATGTCTAGATACTATGACATGAACTGACAATTAAAGTGTATGTACAAACAAAGCAGTTACCTTAATGGACAAGTCTTCTTTACCCAGAGTGACAAGGGTTTTAACCGCTGGGTAGGCCTCTTTTCTGTCTTCATAGAGTTCAACTGTTGCTCTCATTGAGTTCTGAAATAATAAGCCCTTTTCTTTACAACCCTCACAAACCACAATTAAAAAAAAGAAACTCACATGAGCTTACTTATGCACTATTTTTTGTGGGGGGCGGGGAGTGGATAGTGGTTGCATTTATATGACATTTTTTCCCTCTAAAGAACTTAGCTCGCCGAAACCGGTTTGGCTCAGTGGATAGAGCGTCGGCCTGCAGACTGAAAGGTCCCAGGTTCGATTCCGGTCAAGGGCATGTACCTGGGTTTCGGGCACATCCCCAGTGGGAGGTGTGCAGGAGGCAGCTGATCGATGTTTCTCTCTCATCGATGTTTCTAACTCTCTCTCTCCCTTCCTCTCTGTAAAAAAATCAATAAAATATATTTTAAAAAAAAAGAACTTAGCTCAATGTGGTTCAGATCATGGAAACACTCCCTGATGCTTTGTTTTTCATCTAGTTTAAGTCCCATCTACCATACTGCACATCAATTCCCCCCCCCTTTTTTTTGTTAATCCTCACCTGAGGGAATTTTTCCATTGATATTTAGAGAGAGGGGAAGGGAGGAGAAGAGACAGAGAGAAACATCGATGTGAGAGAGACACATCGATTGGCTGCCTTCTGCATGCGCCCCAACCAGGGCCGGGGATCATGCCTGCAACCCAGGTACGTGCCCTTGACCACAATCAAACCCAGGACCCTTCCACAGGCCGACACTCTATCCACTGAGCCAAACTGGCTGGGCTTTCCTCCCTTTTTTCTTTTAGTTTGGCTTTAGGGTATTCAAGCCATTCGACTTTCAACCAAGAGGAATGTTTTCATCGTGTGGCACAAGGCCGCAGAGGCTCACTGGTGAACCTGAAATCTACTTATCAGCCTGCGGTTTCAGAGTGCCTTTCCTCTAAAAGCAGGTGGAAAACCTGCTTCCCACAGAATGAATCATTTGGTTGAAAAAAAAAAAAAAGGGGAAGACGCCAGTTAAAAAGAAGCCACAGCTGTTGAGGAGAAAGTTCACAACTGAATGCCCATCTCCACCTTTGAGTGTTGCATTAATAACAGCATCGTTTTTGGGAAGCAAATCAGCATAAGTGATTTTCAGGTGTTCAATTTAGGGTTTCGCACATAGTGGCAGAAATGAAATTTTAGCTCCAAAGCCTTGTGCCTGTAATTCTGCTACTGTAAATGCCATTAGCTACTGGTTAACAAAAGCAGCAGCTTAAGCCAGAGAGATTCTAAAGACTCTTTTATGGGGGGAGGGTCTTTTTTGGTTTAATCCTTCCATATCTTTCTCCTCTGCCTCTGTCAGATCTTCTGAATTGACTCGAATATGTAAAAGGGTTACGGTAGCTCTCAGGACTAGAACAACTACTAATGCACCAGCACAGTTAATGTTCAGAGGCGTAAATATGTGTAAAATTGTTTTTATGTTGATCTGTGTACCATCAATAAAACCTTGCCAGGTTTGGAAACTAAAAAGCATCTCTAATCTCCTAACTGAAGAAAAAACAGTATGGATTTTACATCAAATCACTAAAGTACAATTAAGCTTCAAAATCAATATATACTAATATTCACGAAGACTACACTGTACACAGCAATTTTTCAGCTCACAGTGTACAAATTATAAAACCCACAGGATATCAGAAATAGAATTTTTTAAATGGTATGCAAAACCTTTTTCTTATGCTAATGTAATGAATCCATTATGCCCTGAATCAAAGTAATTTAAAATGAAGACTTCTTCCCATGTTGTTAAATTCCACTTACCTTGAACAACTCAAATAGCATGTGAAACAGATGGGAGGGCACATAAACTACCTGAATAGGTTTGCCTGGAGCTTTGGCTGAAAACAGAGACAAAATCGTCAATGAATAAGGACCCAAACTAGAAGAAAGTAAAAAATGTTTGCATTCTATTTTCTGAGAACATAAAAAGGAACTCTACAAAAGGCTAATTTAGGTTTCCACCTCTAAAGGCAGGGCTGAGCAAATGATTTTGAAGTCCAACAAAAATTTTTTTGGCGGGGGAGGCATCCAGTTCCTTTACTTACCAGCTATGTGACCCTGGGCAAATTATTCAAATGCTTTGGAACTTAGTTGAGCAATATTGGAATATTATCACCTACATTATAATGTTCTAAGCATTACATAAGGCCACCCAAATATCACTCAGTGTTTTTTTTTTCTTTTTAACAATGTTTTTATTGATTTCAGAGTGAGGAAGGGAGAGAGAAACATCAATGGTGAGCGAGAATCATTCATCGGCTGCCTCCTGCACGCCCCCTACTGGGAATTGAGCCTGAAACCCGGGCATGTGTCCTGACCAGGAATTGAACAGGTGACCTGTCGGTGCACAGGAGGATACTCAACCAACTGAGCCACACCAGCCAGGGCTCATTCAGTGTTTTTCAAATTGGGAGACACCCACCCCTACCACTGACCCCAGTGGTCAGCAGGGGGAGTGTGAAGCCACAGAGGAAAAGGGGCACATCTTTTTGGTGAATTGGACTAAAGAGCAATGTTAAATTATGACAAACAAGGCATATTATAGAGTAGAATGTAAGGTTCACATGACTTTTCTACTAGGAGCTAACAGACAGCCCCCTGGAGATCTACAGTCCTTTCTCCTTGCATCAGTGATTTTCTGGGGAAATCTAAGAAATGCCTAATTCCATGTCAAGCACTAAGAACAGTGTGAGCTATTGAGTAGATGCTAGAAAATGTAGTCCTCGTGACCTGAAATCACTTAAGAGACTGAAACTATGTGAACTTTCTTAAGTAGACCACAGACATACCCACCCATGTTATAATTTCAACCTAACTACTTCCTCTAATAAAGTACATAATTAACAGCATAAAGTAGAGAGAACATTCGTTTGGTTCTTAGTTTACAAAGAGCTTGAACGTACATTATCCAATTGAATCCTTGTGATAATACTGTGTGCCTCATAGGGTGGGTGAAAACACAGGCTTTGCAGAGGCTACGTGACTTGCCCACCAGAACAGAAGAGGCACTAAAACTGGACACCTGAACCAAGAGCTTTTGTGATTCTAAATCCTGATAATCAGTTATTTTTTAAATTACTAAGTTAATATATACAAATGATTTTAAAATTTGTTAAAAAGAAAACAAGTCCCTCCACCCTTTCCTATCTAACCCCCCAGACTGCACCCAGAGGCAGCCAATGAACTCTTCTGTACTTTGCCTATAGATTCTAGACCGATCACTGCAGAGCACCCACAACAATGTACCAGGATAACATTTCCTTCCCTGTGAGTCCAATGACATGATCCATGCATCACTTGAAGAAGAATGTTCTCAGTCTTAAGGTGAAATGGATTCTCTTTATTGTCCTCCAACTGCTCAAAATCAGACTACCCTTTTTTAAAATATATTTTATTGATTTTTTACAGAGAGGAAGGGAGAGGGATAGAGAGTTAGAAACATTGATGAGAGAGAAACACCGATCAGCTGCCTCCTGCACACTCCCCACTGGGGATGTGCCCGCAACCAAGGTACATGCCCTTGACCGGAATCGAACCTGGGACCCTTGAGTCCGCAGGCCGTCACTCTATCCGCTGAGCCAAACCAGTTAGGGCGAGACTACCCTTTTTAAGTCGCCGAATATTTGGACCATGTCTTTCTGATACAGGCTTACCTATTTCCCAGAACTTCTAACTACTCTTCCTCTTGGGTAACTGCACAAGAAACTTATGCTTTCCTCTCCATATCACTAAAATCTTCCAGCTTTTTATTCTACTGCATGGTACCTACTCCATTCTTAAGGACTTTTCAAATTAGAATCAACTGCTTTCCAAACATGCTGCATAGCAATCATCCTCAAATCGTTTTTGATTGAAGTTCTAGAATGTTTTCGCTACTTTTTCTATCCCTAGTAAACACACCATCAAGACCGTCAGATAACCTACCTCAAAAAGGTGTGCAAGGGAGGTACATTTCTCAATCCTTAGTCCTCTGATTCACTTGATTGAAAGTTTGACTGGGTATAGAATTCTTCATTCAAAACCATTTTCTCTCAGAATTTATAAAGGGGGGCCTGACAGTGCAGCTGCTAAGTTTAAATGCCAGTCACATTGTCATTCACACTGTTGGTTTTCACCTGAGGCCTGATACGCCTTGGTTGTAATATTCTTGTTGAAGAATGAGGGACTGGATTAATCATTTCAGGTAGCTCTAACTTACACCAGCTTCCAACTAACCCCTACCCTTTCACTTCCCAGTTCAGTCCTTTGCACCTCCTGGCTCTGCTCCTGGAGTCCCTCCAGGATAACCTCTGGCAACAGGTACCATCTCTTCTGCTGCCTCCTTTGTGGCTTCTTCTGCTCGACATATTTCCCTCTGGTTACCCTATACCAGTGGTCGGCAAACTCATTAGTCAACAGAGCCAAATATCAACAGTACAACGATTGAAATTTCTTTTGAGAGCCAAATTTTTTACACTTAAACTATATAGGTAGGTACATTGTTATTAACTTAATTAGGGTACTCCTAAGGCTTAGGAAGAGCCACACTCAAGGGGCCAAAGAGCCGCATGTGGCTTGCGAGCCGCAGTTTGCCGACCACGGCCCTATGGCAAGAGGTGATATCAGTGGGCCACTGATGAACCTCCTGGTTGCTTTGCTGTTTTTGTTTGGAGTACACTAAATGTTTATTTGTAGCAAAAGGCATGACTAGCTATGTAAACAGCCTTCTGAATTCAACCTTTTTCACTCGAAATCTCAGGGAAATTAAAATGCCTTTCATAGTTTTATTGTGTGTGTTTTAGTTCAATCAACACTCTCTAGGAGCCTTCTGAAGACTTGCTCAATGACTTGGACTTTTCTTTGGGGGCAATATAGTTTACATGTCTGTCCTTCCCTTTAAAGCCATGCCAAATGTTTTGTCCATGACTCTTTTCTAATCCCGGATCCAGGAGCTTTTATGTAGTGGACTCTTAATAAACATTTGCTGACTTTTTAAAATAAGATACAAATGGAATATGAATGTTCCATCTAAGGGTACATTTTAAAAAGTCAATGGAAAAAACCGTCCAGGTTTTTCATGCTCAAGACTTAATGAAGTCTCTCTTTTGCACAGTCATTGCTCCAAATATCATTCATTAAAACAACATCTATTAAGTACCAAGAGAACTCTACATAAGATATGCAATTTTTTATTTTCAGACAATTCTCCTATAAGAATGAAAAAAATGGAAGCTACAAAGAAAAAAATGCATTCAAGGGAAAAGGGTTAATATACAAAATTTATAAAGAACTCATAAAACTCAACACCAAAAAAACAAAACAAAAAACCCATCCAATTAAAAAATGAGCAGAGGACCCAAATAAACACTTCTCCAAAGAGGACATACATATGAAAAGATGTTCACTAATCATCAGCGAAATGCAGAGCCAGTACACTCAGCGGACAGCTTCAGACCACATCGAAGCACCACCCAACCGCCTCCACAGTGACTCATTCAAAAGGCAGACTCAGTGGGCACCAGAGCCTTCCCCAGAACTTCTGCTTCCAAATTCTCCAAAGCCAGAAGAAGGGCTTGAAGTATGGAAAAACTGGGCTCAGACCAACAATGCTGAGCTAGAGACGGATGCTCAGAACAGAATGGCGCCCATTGGGAGACGCCAGCTTCTGTGATTCCAGGAAGATCTCATCTCTTCTGCTGTGGCCAAGTTGAATTATGGTCTCTGTCTAATGACACTGGAGGCTCGAAATGGAGAAGGTGAACCCTATAGGAGAATTGTCTGAAAATATTTTCCTGTGCATTCAGAAGTATCATTTTGAAAATGGATGGGTTGATGACATTTCCTCAGATCTTACGTTCGATTCACAGAGTGGCTACCTGAAGTTCTGAAGGACGTTCAGCCCCAACTAACTCTACTTGGCTATGTCCTGCCCAGCCAAGTGACTGAGGAGCCCCTTGGAACTAAGTCCTGCTCTTTGGGATGGACCCAGCACAGCTGATCCTCCACAGTGGTCGCAACCAGTCTTTGCAGCCAACTGGCCTGGGGGTAAATCCTTCCCATTGAAGAGCCAACAGCAATCAAGGCTCAACTACAACAGGATGGTGCACACAGCCTCCACATGGGGTACACCTGGAGTGCCCTGCTTGGGTGACTGGGGAGGCTGAACCACTGGACCCTACAGGACACCTACTATACAAGGCCACTCTGCCAATTCCAGGAGACAAAGCAGCTCTACCTAATACACAGAAACAAACACAGGGATGCTGCCAAAATGCGGAGGCAAAGAAACATTCCAAGATGAAGAAAAAACAAACAAAACTCCAGAAAAAGAAGACAAACAATCTACTAGATGTATAGTTAAAAACACTGGTTAGAAGGATGCTCAATTAACTTAGGGGAAGAGTAGGTGAAATTAGAACTTCAATAAAGAGATAGGAAACTAGAAAACATAAAAAATAAACAGAAATGAAGAATACATTACAGGGAATCAACAGTGAAGTCGATGAAGCAGATATTCAAATCAGAGATTTGGAAGATAAGGAAGCAGAAAACATACAATCAGAACACCAAAAAGAAAAAGAATTAAAAAAATGAGGATAGTGTAAGGAGCCTCAGAGACAACTTCAAGCATACCAACATTTGCATCATGGGGGTGCCAGAAGAAGAAGAGAGAGAGCAAGATATTGAAAACCTATTGGAAAAAATAATGACAGAAAATTTCCCCTACCTGGTGATGGAAAAAGACATACAAGTCCAGGAAGCACAGAGAGTCCCAAACAAGATGAATTCAAAGAGGCCCACACCAAGACACATCATAATTAAAATGCCAAACATTAAAGACAAAGAATCTTAAAAGCAGCAAAAGAAAAGCAGTTACCTCATAAACAATTACATAATATTGTAATAACTGTGTAGTATGGTGCCAGTTGGGGTACTGGAAATATCAGAGGGAATATCTGATTGTCTAACCACTATGCTGTATGCCCAAAATTAATACAAAATAGTATTGAATGTAAACTGTAATTAAAAATAAAATTTAAAATAAAAACAGATTTCTAAGAGGAAAAAAAAAACAGTTGTAATAAGAGATTCAAGAAGGAAAAAGAGAGAAATGGTAGCTGGGCACTTAGAGATGGTTAACCAATTCCCAAAAATCAATGCATAAGGCTATTAGAGACAATATATAGTGTACTTCAAAGGCACATTGGGGCCAAGTTCTGACTTAGGCATTTAATAGATATATTAATAGGTACTTAACCCATCTGGGCCTCAGCATCCCATTTCTGAAATGGCGCAGAACTTATCTCACTGGGTTAATATAAGGATGAAATGAGATCATGGTGATAAACTAATTTACATAGAGCCCGCCACATTGTAAGCAGTCAATAAATGCTGCCTATTCTCTTAACTAAAAATTAATTTCTACAGTATTAATGGAGTTATCAGTAATGGCTTTTTGACTGCTGCATAGAACCATTTGCCTGAAAATATCCACAGAAGTACCCAATATTGAGAAACTAGAGGTCAACTATCCCAGGGTAGATACATAACCTTTCTATGAAACCTCTTATAACAAAATAGATAGCATGAGTTGAAATTTTTGTTTCCCACCAAATCTAAAGCTATCAACCTCCTGAGAGGAAAGACTAATCTAGAAATGAAAAATTCAAGTCATAACCATATAAGTCTTACCTTTCCCAAGTCAATCCTGAATTCTAGTAGCCACCCTTTTAAAAATATCCAGTATACCTGGCAGGTATGGTTCAGTGGTTGAGTGTCAACCTATGAACCAGAAGGACACGGGTTGTGGGCTCGATCCCCAGCGTGGGGCGTACAGGAGGCAGCCGATCAATGATTCTCTCTCATCATTGATGTTTTTCTCTCCCCCCCCCTTTCCTCTCTGAAATCAATAAAAATATATTTTATAAAAAATAAAAATACCCAGTATGTGCCTGGTGCTGTATTTGAGATCCCAGTAACATTATCCTTTCACCAGAGGCCTGGTGCACGAGATTCATGCACTCGGGAGGGTGGGGGGGGTCCCTCAGCCCAGCCTGCACCCTCTCACAGTCCAGGAGCCCTTGGGGGATGTCTGACTGACAGCTTAGGCTCGCTCCCTGTAAGTCCGACAGCCTTGGCGCTGCCGTGGAGGCGGGAGAGGCTCCTGCCACCGCCACTGCGCTCACCAGCCGTGATCCTGGCTTCTAGCTGAGGGGAGCTCCCTCTATGGGAGCGCACTGACCACCAGGGGGCAGCTCCTGCGTTGAGCATCTTCCCCCTGGTGGTCAATGCACGTCATAGTGACCGGTAGTTCCACTGTTTGGTTGACTTGCGTATTAGCCTTTTATTATATAGGATTGCCCCCACAGGGTGAGCGTATGGATGAAGAAGTTGGGTGTCAGGCAGGAAGTGACTTGTCTAAGGCCCACATCTAAGTGTTCAAATACACATTTCTACTGCCTGGTTAAGCTACGGAGTTCCCATCTTCCCCCTAAGCCCTGCTGCCTTACCATATGGATTCAGAAAAGGTCAATTAGAAATGTTTATTTGCTTAATGTTTTGGCAACTGATTTCTCAAGAGAAATGAGGACAAGTGTGATGAAATAGCTACTTGTCATTGGAGGAACCCACATGGGTTGCCACAAGTGGCCAGTCAGAAAGATCTGAGGTAAATAAAGCTGTTAAATGTGTTACAGAAAGGATAATAAAGGAAGTTTACTATAACTGGCCCCCAATATTCCGAATTCTAGTGAGGACTGGTAAATACTGTGGTGTTCACACAGTATGTGTCCTACATAATCCTATTTACCACTTTCTCAGGGGTTTACATTGGAAAAGAAAAGAGTTCAGGGGAAAAAAAGGTGGTGTGTCAAACTAGCCAAACTTACATTCTCAGGTAGCAATGGACTGTTTTTTTGGGTTAAATGGCAGCCTTACTCGTCTGAAATGCAGAGCGAGGGCAGCAAGCATGTCCCTATTGTTAAAGGTACCCGTTGGGCAATGGGAGCATCCTGAAAGGCAATGCTATGCTGGTTCACACAGGCTCTGAAAATAAATCCATTAAGTATCTGGATCTGATCTGACCGCTCCCTGAAAACAGTCAGCCATCATGTTGTGGGAGACACACGCACTCTCTCTCATTCTGCAGTGATAGTGTCTACTTACGGTGTTCAGGGCCAACCTCCAACCTGCATCTCTAACACAGAACTTACTAGAGACAAAGCAGAGTCTTTAACTGCGCTCGCAAAGAGCTTTGACATTTAAGAAATCATAAATATAAATCATAAATACATTACCTGAAAGCACGAGGAAACTAGAGGCTGCCTCTAACCACCAGCATTCATTTATCTTAGTAGTGATGAAAAAGGGCTTAAAAAGTCATGCATGAGACAATGACAAAAGTAGTCATACAGCTCTGCTCCTGGCGGGGTGTGCTGCCCAGTGTGACCACCTCACTGGGAAGGAGCGGCTGACACAGCTGCACCTGGGAATCAGCAAGAACAGGCTTGCTGCTCTGGCCTACAGTGAGTGAGGCTGCTATTCATGCCGAAGAGCATCTGGTTACTACCTGTGAATGTAAGTTCCATGTTTGACAAACAGAAAGCTGGACAGTGAGGTCAGGCCCCGAATAGCCAGGAGGAAGAGAGAGAGAATATTCTGATGCTTCTACTCAGGAATACTCCAGGCAAGTCCATTAGGTTCTCATAGTATATTGATTCAAAACATTGGCACAACTCAGAGGACCCAACGGACTTTGAAAGCAGCTTTGATTCCATACTTTCTAGTAAAATGGAAGGGCCAATGTCTTACAACAGCAGCCTGAAGTCTTTCACATTTTAATCTCTCTCTCTCTCTCTCTCTCTCTCTCTCTCTCTCTCTCTCTATATATTTAATTTATTATCTAAAGTTTTACATATGTCTCCTTTTTCCCCCGATTGACCCCCCGCTCCCCAGCCATTCCCACCCCGGGCAAGCCCCCACCGCCCCAGTGTCTGTGTCCATTGGTTATGCTAATATGCATGCATAGTCCTCCTTTGGTTGATCCCTAACCTACCTACCTCCCCTGCCATTTGTCTCTGGATCTATTTTTGTTCACCAAATTATGTTCATTATATCCCACATATGAGTGAGATCATGTGATAAGTGAAATGCAGTTCTGATATATTTTAAGAGGGAATTTGGTTTATCTTTTTAAAAATATATTTTTATTGATTTCAGAGAGGAAGGGAGAGAGACTGGGAGGTAAAAACATCAATGATGAGAGAGAATCATTGATCAGTTGCCTCCTGCACGTCCCACACGGGGGATCAAGCCCTCAACCCGGGCATGTGCCCTCACTAGGAATCAAACCGTGACCTCCTGGCTCGTAAGTCGACGCTCAACCACTAAGCCATGCCGGCTGGGCTTATCTTTAATTGTAAATGCTTATACCCTAAGACTCAGTCATTCCACTTCTAGGAATCTAATGTACAGAAATACTTCCACACGTTCACAAATTTTCCCAACCCTCCAAACACAGACACGTACACACACACACACACACACACACACACCCCTTCATTGGGAAATCATTAAATAAATTATGGCAATCTACACTATGGATAATCTCTAAATGACAATACACGCAAAGATCTTCAAAGCAAAGTGAAAAAAACATCATAGAACATGAGTATTTCCAACCCCATTTATGTAAAAAATGAAGCTCTGTATGGGACTGAGAGAGCAGTGGAGACTCACTTTTACTCTATATTTCTGCATTGTTTGTATTTTTACAATGAGTATGTCTTTTTTTGGTAACTTACAAATTTAAAAAAAAATTAACATGGAAATATAGACTCATACGATTAATAGAAAAGTCAGCTATAACCCTACTCTCCACACGGAGTTGTTTCTCCCTAGGTGCTAGAAATCCTTCAAAATATTTTCCAGTGAACTTTTTCTGATTACTTTATTCAACTTTTAGAATTAAACCATTAAAAGAACCACAGACAGACATTAGAATAACTGATTACAAACTTTTATAGCGTGTGTTTAAAAGATTCTTTTAAAGCATTATTTTAAAGGGCTGCATAGTATTCTATCTTATGAGTGAACCACAATGTTAATGTCTTGTGTTGTAGAAAACGTGGATCTTCTCATTTTTCTCTATAAGGAAACCACTGTGCTCACCATTCTTGTACATACAACTGTGCATATCTACATTTTCTATATTTTCTTATAATACCCTTTCTGAAGTTTAATTCACTGGGCCAAAGAATAAGACTATTACTAATTTACTGGGTCAAAGAGAAAGAATATTGGTGGCATTTTTTGAGAAAGGCTGGACCAATTTAAACTTATACCAGAAATGTATAAGTGTTGGTAAGAAAGTATTTTTCTGAGCAATAATTCGAGGCAATAAAATGTTTCAATCATTGCCATTTTGAAAGACAAAAATGGCATTTCTCTTTGGTTTTGTTTGTACTTCTTTGTTTAATAAAGTTAAACACTTTCCCACAGGTTTATTGCTTGTTTGCATTTACTATTTTGAGAATTGCCTATTTATACCTTTGTGCATTTTCTACTGGATTATTTCTGTGCCACGAACTTTGAGTTTTAATAGATTAGACATTCCTGTACAAAAACTCCTGACAACAATATACCTAGTTGACCACAGATATAGAAAAGGTTTTAAAAAATATAGAAAAGATTTTTTAAATCAGCAAAACTTTAGGATCTCGCTTAAATATAGCTTAGGAGTAATCAGATTTGGGTCAACTTCTTTGTACTTAAGGTTAAAATTATTCTTTTACCATTGAATTCTTCAATTTCCAACTCAGGAGCTACCATGTAATACTGTTCACATAACATCTTGGCGGTTTCATACGCATCTGCAAAGAAAGAAAAAAAGTTTAGCTGCTGCACTAATAACACAGGCACAAGTAGATGATTGATAGATAGATAGATAGATAGATAGATAGATAGATAGATAGATAGACAGATATAATAGATAAGCAAACAAGGACAATTTCTAACTTGATGAATTTTTAATTAATTAACTACTTCCTTTTTTAAAAATAGCCTTTGTGGCTTGCCCATCTGGTGTGGCTCAGTGATTGAGCTTTGACCTATGAACCAGGTGGTCATGGTTCGATTCCTGGTCAGGGCACATGCCTGGATTACGGGCTTGATCCCCAGTGGGGACCGTGCAGGAGGCAGCCAATCAACGATTCTCTCCCATCACTGATGTTTCTGTCTCTCTCTCCCTCGCCCTTCCTCTATGAAATCAATAAAAAAAATTGTAAAGCCCTATAGAGTTTAAATATGTTAAAACTTGACATATCAACCTAAAATAATACAAAGATAAGATTCAGGTGTGTTCCAACTGTAAGTTTTGGTTCATTGACCTCATATTGCTAGCAAATTAAAATTGTATATATTATTTGACCTCGGAATAAAAATTCTGATTACTTTATTCAACTTTTAGAATTAAACCATTAAAAGAACCACAGACAGAGACATTAGAATAACTGACAAAATGAAATAATGAGGAAATGTTAGTAAGAGGAGAGGAAAAAAAGAGTTGATCACTGTGAAAACAAACATTAAAGTAGGACTTAATTGAAACCCTAAAAAATTAAAATACAGAATTATATTAAATTTGCAGGGTTTTTTTTCCTAGGGTATAATAAACCTCATTAAATATCTGTAAAGTACTTTTGTAAAAAGAAATCAAGATGCACTCTTTCTGCTTTGGCTATAGCACCAAACAATGCTACATCTCCACCTAGTGACACAATAGCACAAAGCCAACCAAGAACCTCCAAGGCTACTTTATTTAAACCAACAAATCCTAAAAATCTCAAAATGATGCTCTGCTATCCATACACAAAGCCAATACATCTGCTCAAAACAACTCCTCCAAGTATATAACACCTTTAAAGGTGTTTTGACATCATTCTTCCATTCACCATAAAAGAAAAAGTGCCCACTAACTGCGATATCGCCTCACGGCATTTGCTTGCCCAATGGCATGAGCGTATAATGGTATTATTAAGAAAAGGTATTACACAAATGCAACATGCAGAAGAGATGGCAGAACCCAGATAGAAGCCATCAACTTGGGACCCAAAGACCCAGTGTGTTTCCTAAAACCACATGTGAATAAGAATTTGTAAAGCATCATGACAAATTATGGTGTATCAGTGCTGTAATTAAAAATCACATAATGATGCTTGAAAAACTCAAACCACCACAATGAGACTCACATACACCAGCCAGTCAAGTATTTGGGGGATAGTAATGGTAAAATCTACATTCATATACATCTTTAGAAATTCCCATAGCACATCATCATGCCTTGGACACGATACACAGCTAGCAAGCATTTGCTAAATGGAACAATCTTCTTGCCCATGAGAAAGTTCTCAAGGAGAAATATTCTTTTTCTTAAAATCCTTACCGGAGCCGAGACCGGTTTGGCTAGCATCGGCCTGGGGACTGGGAGGTCCCGGGTTCGGTTCCGGTCAGGGGCATGTGCCTGGGTTGCGGGCACATCCCCAGTGGGAGATGTGCAGGAGGCGGCTGATCGATGTTTCTCTCTCATCGATGTTTCTAACTCTCTGTCTCTCTCCCTTCCTCTCTGTGGAAAATCAATGGGATATATTTTTTTAAAAAATCCTTACCAGAGGATATGCTTTTTTAAAAACTGATTTTTAGAGAGAGGGGAGGGAGGGAAGGAGGGAGGGAGGGAAGAGAGTAACATAGATCAGTTGCCTCCTGTATGCACCGGACCAGGGATTGAACCCACAACCTAGGTATGTGCCCTAATTGAAATCAAACCCACAACCTTTTGGTGCATGGGATGATGCTCCAACCAGCTGAGCCACCCGGCCAGGGCAAGAAATGTTCTTTTTGGTCAGACTGGGAACTAGAGACCTTGCGTGGTTCCCAAACCTCATTGTATGTGGAATTCACTACCAAGTTTTTTTTTAATGCAGATTATAAAATGAGCCCCTAGAGATACTGATGCAGTAGGTCTGTGTTGAGGCCTGGGAATCTATATTTTAAAAAGCTTAGCAAGTAATTCTGAAGAGAAGTTAGATTTGAAGACCACTTGCCGGGAAAGCCAAGGCTGGGCCATGTTAATTCAGTCACTGTCTCTCCCAGGACATGAATGATCATGGGGTTTTGGGGTGTATACAACACACATGTACTCAAACTTCTATTTCACTTCTATTTAAGTGAACTAACATAAAAATGTAAAAACTTTAAACATCACCCACATAACCAAAATTCAACTACTGGCTTATAATTTCATGTCTTTCATTCTGGGGTAGAATGCAAGTTCTACTTATAACAAGCTTTCAAATAAGACTTTTCTAATTTTAATTAGAAACCAACATTTTAAATATGATAACTTACCAAATTACTTTTATCTGCAATACATCTGAGCAAGTAATTACCACCAATCTTTTTTAAAAATTTTTTTAAATTGATTTCAGAGAGCAAGGGAGAGGGAGAGCGAACTAGAAACATCAATGAGGGAGAATCATTGATCGGCTGCCTCCTGCACACCCCCTATTGGGGACTGAGCCTGAAACCCAGGCATGTGCCCTGACTGAGGAATCAAACCCGTGACCTCTTGGTTCATAGGTCAACGCTTAACCACTGAACAACACCGGCCAGGCTCCAAACAATCTTTAAAAGGAAATTATTATCACTTCCACTAAACATAAATGCTATTCATTGTTTTAAGGATCAGTTTTCAAGAACAATAAGATAATGATCATAAAGTAACTAACAAAACTGTTGGTGTGGCACATACATACACCCCCCAGGCTAGAACACTCAACCTGTAAACACGCAAGACTGATTATTTATTTAAAAGGCCAAGTCATAAAGAGCAGGGTGAAGGTTCACTGAGCAACTAGCTGAACAGATCCAACCTAGCCCAGAATTTAAGAAAAGCACACAGGAAAATTTAATACATTATGGAGGTTATTTTATTAATTTTCGTTAATCCTCACCGAGGATATTTTTCCATTAATTTTTAGAGAGAGTGGAATGGAGGGGGAGAGACAGAGAGAGAGAGAAACATCTATGTGAGAGAGACACACTGATTGGTTGCCTCCAGCACACATTCGCAGGGCCTGGGATGAGCCTGCAACCGAGGTACGTGCCCTTGACCAGAAGTAAACCCGGGTCCCTTCAGTCCATGGGCTGACACTTTATCCACTGAGCCAAACCGGCTAGGGCTATTTTATTAATTTTTTATTAGAAGATTTGCCTATTCAAAATTCACCATAGAACTCTGCTATCAAATATTGGCCTCTGTTGTGAATACACATAATCATTTGTTTATAAATGTCTTAGAAGAGGCAGGGCAAGGATGAATTTGAGTGGGTGCTGAAATAAACACATGAAGGTGCCAAAGTCCCTAACAGGTTTAATAGGATATAGAAAACCATGAAGCTCAAGTTTAAGAAGCCACTGCCAGAACAAGGTAATGCACATGGCCACAAAGCATTGCAAAGTCATAGAGATGCTGCTTTTTAAGAAACCCTTGTAAGTTACAAAGCAATTCCAATAAGGTATGTCTACCATCATCCTTTCACCCAAAATGCATCCCAAGCGAGAACCACCAGGTATTTGTAAGTACCAGACCCTTTCTCACACTCCAAACCACAGCTGATTGGAGATGTGGGGGGGCAGAGCATCTAACGAAAGGGCAACCAATCTACAGGCTGAGCAAAATCCTACAACCTGTGGTTGTGGGCAGAAAGATAGGTTGAGGCAATGAACTTCATCTTTTGAGAATTTCAGATCAAGACTCGGGCAGCGCAGAAGACAAAAAGAAACTCTGAGAGTTATCATCATCTAGAAGGCCATCATTGCCCTAAACAAGTCTGCCAGTCTACAGACAAGAGAGAAAGGCAGAGGGGCTAAGATTTGGCCACCCCAGTTACAAAGACACACAGAAAACAGCCTTGTTTTCTGTTTCCCAGTTCCAATGTCTATAGCTCCGCCTGTGAAGTGCTTCCTGTCCTTGGATTTTCATGGGATCTACTAGGTTCTTTATATAAATCTGTTTCTTGAACTAGTGTGAGTGGGTCTCTGTTATTCGCAAACTGAAGAGCCCCACGTGAGAGCGCAAGACATTATTTCCGAACCAAAATAATGACACACTTTCAGGATGCCATTTGTACGCCATTATGCTAAGCCTAGTGGCTATAGGAACAACACAGGCAGGCTAACATCGCTGCGAGAGGTGACTTTTGTACCAAGTATTTAAGTTTGTACCTTTAAAATTATCTTCCCACAGGATTTTCCATTCTCTTTCCTGGTTTCTCACAAAGAAAGGAGGAAAGGGTCACAATGGAAGGAACCTCCCAGAAACTGCTTTACAATACTAATTCTAGCATTCACTACCTCGAGTCTATAATTTGCAGATGTGTAAAGGTAGATATTAATGTGCTAAATAAGCGACAAGGAGACATGCTTCAGTGTTCCGCACATTCAATTAATGTTGTGCGTGATGCACCCCACTTTTATACATTTATACAACTGGCTAGTCAAAAATAAAAATATTGTCCCTACTCTTCCACATAAAAGTTTTCTCTAGTCTGTCTCAAAAGATTTAAGCATGTAATCATTGTTAGTTCATTAAGGCTTCCTAAGGCTATAAAACATGTGTGCATGCATAGGCAAGCACGGCGCACCTCACACACACACACACACACACACACACACACACACACAAACATCTGGATCTGGGCTGGACATCTGACCGGCCTAAACCAGGATCTTTCCAGCTGAGAAAATCAATGGTAGAGCTGTCATTAAAACCCAGAAGCCCAACTCCCTCTACATCAAGCTTCCTAAAACAAAA